CGTGATGAATACATATAGAATCCAGCACGATGGTTTCCAGGTGGAACCACGTGGAGGTCGACCTAATAGGCTGTATTGCTGGCAATGGGTCAGTTAGACCTCATTACTAACAATCCCTTTTCCCCAGTGATGTATATTAATCCTTACTAATATATTGCTACTGTTTTTCTATCACGATTCAATCATACTCCTTCCTATTATAAAACCAAATAAAGGTGGAGCTTTAAAATATTTCTTATCATTTGATTTCGTATAAAGATTGTGAAAATAATTCATGCAATCAAAGTATCTATAAATAATACTTATTAGTGCGTTGGCTCGCTTACTCAATTCATGGAGTTATTGAGTACGCTCGAGTTTTAATTTGCGCAATGTTACAATGTATAATTATGAGATAAAGCTTATCGGAATAATCCATAAATATAAAACTCTCCCAAGAGGAAGATTACTATTTCTATTGGATGCTGAGTTTACGCTTAAAATACCTACATTAAACCAAATTTTTTGGAGAATGACTACAAGCCCTAAGATGTAACTCATTTATTCAGAAGATAGTTATTCACCATTGACTAGAATAATCCGAGATGACTACCTCCATAGTGCAGTAGGAGTATATGCCGTTTAGTTCACCCTGGAAACCATCCTGGTTAATTATCGATGAATTCATTACGAGTGGGTAACTGACCTGCCTCATCTTCACCTATCGGTGGCAAACAAGCATACCGTCCGTCTGATGGTTAACGGGATACCGTAGCCTGCAGAAACCTGCAACACAACTAATGTCACACGTGCATTGTCGAGCCTTAAGAAACCTTAATACACCCTTTTTAAAACACCCCCTGCTGTAGTCTCTAGGAAAAGCTTCGGCTGGAAGATCACTCCACAACCTGATTGTTCGCGGGAGGAAGCTCCTCTGAAATAGCACTATGTGTAAGTTACCAAAAATATCATCAATAAAACAAATTTATTAATTATTGTTAAAATGGACTTTTATGTTACCAATAACACGTATTTATCTATTTAGTGGTTATTTTTTTAAACAACAATGACACACCAATACCGCTTTGGTATGCAACTTTGCATATAAAGATAATTGGACCGGAAAGATAAAGTTCTTAAAAATTGGCAATCAACATCTTATCAGGTATTTATAAAGTCGTTTCAATTACGAGCTTTTTTATTTATTACAAAGCTGCATTTTTATATTTCATATCATATACTTATTAGGTAAAAATAAAATTACTATTTAACTTTCGAGAAAATTTATTGTTATTATAATCATATCAGATATTAACTGTCCGCTACTGGGTATAGGCCTCCCTATTGGGGGTTTTGCTAGTAGTTGCCACGTTTGGCAAGTGGGTTGGCATCCACAGTTAGGCATTGGTGAAGATTTAAGGGCGCTGTTGTTCATCCCTCGACCATAAAATTCCCTTAGTTGCTTCTTACAACACCCACAGGAAAGGAAGGGGTGGCCCATTCTATGCCGAAACCACACGGCGAAAATTTAGATATACGGTTTACAAAAAATATCAAATTTCTAAGATCACTGATTTTTATTTAAAATACATTACACAAACACACATAGATAAATAGTGGGGTCGTTTTTGAGGAACGAATCCCTTGTTAAACTTATTTTAAATATTAAATTTTAATTTGATAGTTTAGCAAAACCATTATAGTATGAACCATCGAGAATTAAATGACATGCAGTTCTACTAAAAATTTAGTTCTTAAAAATACTGATTCTTAAAATATAAAATTCGACATGTAATTTTAAACATAAAAACAGAGAATAGTATTTCGGAAACAACTCCAATACTTGCAAAAATCCTAAACTTTATAGATAAATTTAAAAAAAGTAGATTTCAAAATATAAGATTTTAAGTTATCATACGTAACATTTTACGAGATTTGTTAGTATATAATTATCGCAATGTTAAAAAACTATTACAGAACAAATTACCCATTTATATAACTGTACACACGATGTGAAAACAAGACACTTTAGAAAAATAATCCGATTGGCGTTCGCTCCCTGCCGCGTCACACTGCAAAGCTTTCGCACGTATTTGGTCCAATTAGAGTACCTTCACGTCCCCCCAGTGCTGTGTCGCGATGTATTATAAATTAAGAACACATGCTGCAGACAGTAATACTTCTCTTTATCTTTCTCTCTATATATATTGGATTCCTTATTCTAAACGACTTTACAAAGTTTTCTAATTTAATGGGTTATCCGCATGAATTAGTATCTAGCACACGGCAGCGTGTCCAGCTAAGTTCAAAAAAAAAAAGTTCAATGAAAAAAGAACTGGCAACGCAGCAAGGAAAGTATTAAAAAAAACCCCAGTTGTTAAGTCACCTACTCATGTACTGGGGGGAAAGGAATTGTCAGGAATGAGGATCTAACATCTCTATTGCTAGCAATATACCCTATCAGGTCTTCCTGAAGACCATTGTGGTTAATTCTTGTGGATTTTATCACGATAGATTAACTGACCTGCTTTTATTTTCACGTATCGTCATTGGTACGTACCTCATTGGTGCCCCATCAGCGTATACTGGTAACGCAGACGGTGTACCATTTTATTATCACCCATTAAAAAACCCGTGTACAAGTACTGAATTTCTTTACAAACTTTCACTTTTATGATATTAGTAACTTAAGGAAATAAATGTAGTTGACTGCAAAAATAATCATTGAAGTTGTGTGCTCATGAGGATATTGCACAATATATACACAAGTCTTGAGAATCTCCTTTTTGAAGTCAATTGAAAAGTGATTTTAGGTGGGCGTTTAGCAAAACATTATTCTGTATAAAATATTTTCTATATAAGATTGAGATTACGCAAAAAGAACTTTGATATTTGCGACTTGTTAAGATTTTCATCTACGTACACAAAAGGAAACTCAAAGGGAAAAATATGTCGTATTAAAATCTAATAATACGAAGAATATTATGTGAGAGCTCCAGGCAAATGCTATTGTGTTATAGTGCTTTATAAAATATCTGTTTTTAACCGACTTATAAAATAAATGGTACTCCGTCTTATCACCTATGTATTTTTGTATGTTACGCTAATTGTGAGGCAGTTTAGATGATTTTATTTAATCAAAAGAATTGATTATATAAATTAATTATATATAATTTAATATTGTATATATAAACGTTAAATGTAGACAATACACAGATAAATGTACTTTTATAATAGATTATAACATTTCTATGAAAGATCACGTACTCTTCGTAAATAACTGTAAAATAATATTTGAAGTTGTGATGATTAATTTAATTGTTCTATTAACTGTTATAACGTCTTAATATTTCCTTATTTGTCACATTTGAATAACACCGTCATCAATTCGTTACAATACAACAAGGTGACAGCAATATCCACCTCCGTAAACTTATCACAATAGTTATTTCCCGCGTAAACTGTCACCGCCATATTCGTTTCGGACATCCAGCCGTCAGACCCAGGCTGTTTCGCTTAAATGACCAAATTACATGTTTATTGTACGAAGTTTGCATTAAAAAGTGCCGAATTACTTCGCTTTGTGATAGATATGAAAGGTTTATTTGTGAAAAAATTGTTGGGTCCTACGTATACTAACTAAATAATTGGAAATTAACTTTGCTACAATGACCGGATGAGTCGAAAATCGGCTTAATGGCGTAGTATGGCAACAAAGGATGTTATGATACAAAAATTAATGAAAGTTTTTGAATGTGGCATTCATATTTACGTCTTATGGTGAAGCAGTTGTGTTTGCATGACTGTATTTCGGTTTGAAGGGTGGGATATGGCGTGAATTTACAGGGTACAGAGGAATAACATCTGAATCCTTAGAAATAGCAACGCATGGGGCGTATCATGGGCGAAACAGTATACTCTGTTATGTCCACGGAACTGCTCATGTCTATAGGCGACGGTTACCACTTTCCACCAGGTGGGCCGTCAGCTTGTTTGCCATTCTTAGTTGTATAAAAAAAGTCTAAAAGATAATTAAATAAATTTACGTCTTACAGATTTCAGTTTATTCGCGTCTTTGGCATATGCCTTCCCTGTAAGGGGAGTTTTGCCAGTACTTGCCACACTTGGCAGGCGGGTTGGCAACCACACTATTATAGCACATACTACATCATTGTAATATAACATAGAATACCTACGTACATATAAATAGAGATAAAAAAAATAATTGTCTATTCCATTGTCCGCCCATTTGTCACGCACAATCTATTGTTATTTGCAAATCAATATCGGGAGTGTGTAAAAATTAGCATAATAAGTACAAAATTATATCAAAGCACAGTTATTATTAAGTAGGTGAACTGTATCAAATCATGAATACAAATTTATCTGTACGCGTATAAAATAAAGAGTGAAATCGCTGCATATAAGGACATAAGTGAAAACATGCGATCTCTTATACCGTGAGTGCATCACTCGTCAACAACTCGACGGACGCATCAAAACTCAGTCAATAACAATCATAAGGCATCAACCGGTGAATCGACAGCTCGTACGTTGCCACTAGTGTTGCCCAATCGATTATCAATGTATCAATAGTGTTAAGATCAAAAATCGAAATATCGATTTCATAATCGATTAAAAATATCAGGTAAAATAAGTGGTTATAATCTAATATCACATATATTTAGCTTTACATTTATTACCTTTCTAATGCGTCACTTATGCATTCATTCTTTAATTCCATATACACAAAAGTTGTCTGAAAGAGATTGCTTAGTAATAAGATCGCCTTTTGTACTACACTGTGATAATTGAAAATCTTTCCAAATTTTGCAATATTGGTGCAATAAACTGTTAAATAAATAAATAATAATTAATCCTTTACTATCAATAGTTTTGATTATATAGCAATTTATTATTAGTTCGATCCAATACTATCGATTAATAGATATTATAAATAAATAAAATAAAATTTTCCTATTTCAGTTATATACCTATAGTTTACATTAATTAGTGTGATTTAATTTTAATTACTTACCTACATTATACAAATATTAATTAATAAAATACGAATTATAATAGTAGATGGTAATCAATTATTTTAAATACTCTTTTATATCGTATTATTGATTATAAAACTATTTGTGGCTTCAATCAAATTGTACGGTAATCGACACCAAACGATTATAAGACAACACTAGTTGTTACTATGTCGGCACAATTACAATAATTGAATCAGGAAACCGTTCCCCTTTGCCGGAGTAAAGTATAAATAAATCAAAAAGGGGCCCTCTCAACATACCATTGGCCAGTCGACCGATGTGTTTCTTTGCCCTGCTTATTTAGACTCGGTATTCGACCGTCCGGACCGAATTGACGCGTACAATGACGTTTTCAATGAAGTATTATATTTTGCCATAATAAAATTCTCTCTCCCATCAAATCTCAATTCTAAAATTGAGATGAATTCGTATGGTGGAGTATTAATACAACGGGGTCAATTCTGAGATGCCATTTCTTTAAATACTATCTATCTCTTTATTTAAATACGAATTCGATATCACAGCGAAATCTTTTTTCTAAGGACCAATACGCGTCATTTTTTTTATAGATTAAAACAAGGTTAATAATGTACAATATAATCTCGATTATCCGAACATTCGATTATCCGGACTTATTCTTCGCAGCTCTAATTACTGATTTAGAAATGGTATTATGTATTAATTGAGTAAACAGATATTATATAATTTATTCTTTTTACAGCTCGTAACTATTTTATATCATATTGTCTAAATGAATATAAGTAAAATCCTTTACATAATAAAAAATATTAAAATTTAATTATGTAATGTTTGATTCGACTTTAAAATCAATTATCCGGAATTTCGATTATATGGAATATCCCTGGTTTTGTTTGATACGAATAATCAAGATTCTATATTACTATAAAATAGTAATATCGCGAAATTATCAAATTAAAATCTTAGGTTAAGAGTAAAGAAATGGCACCTCAGAATCAGACCTCAATGTGTCAGAATCAAACATCTTCAGAATCGAACTCCTTGACTTGTTTCTTAAAAGTTCCAGAATCGTAATCTAAAGAGGAAAGATTTAATTGTCTGCTTGTTTGTAATGGATAAACTTAAAAACTACTAAACTGATTTTAAAAATTCTTTCACCTACATATAAAAAGCTACTCGTATATTATCAACGAGTTACATAGTCTATATATTTCGAATATTTTTCTACTCATACGAATCCAGGTCGGGCTTTTTCAATTCGATTCGATTTATAATATTAAATACTAGAAATGTTTTTTTTTTAATGGATAATAATGGAAAATAATAGTGGAGGTCGACCTAATAAGGTATATTGCTAGCAATAGGGCTGTCAAACTCCATTGCTAACAATCCTTTTCCCCCTACTAGAAAAGATTTACCTTGAACTTTCGCGGGCACACGAGTAGCAAGAACTACCTAATGACAATAAGACCGCCATATTGTATTTGTACAAGTAAATTTCACTGCAGATACCTATTAGTTATATTTTTTATACCTTACACTATATAATACAAATTATAAGAAATTGTGTTAAAAAATAGGAAGAAAGACTTTATTGTTTCCTCCAAAAGATTACAATAGTAAACTTATTAAAAATATAAAAAATACCGACTTAAATTGTGCCAAAACCTAACTGGTTGATTAAAAAAACTTATCTATTGAACCGATTTTGATAAAATTTCTATGGAACTAATATGTAAATATAACCTTTCAGATAAAAATGAAATTTCCAAATCAGTTTACAACTGACGGAGTTGAGGCAACAAACATAAAAAAACTACCGAATTGAGCATCTTGTTTTTGAAGTCGGTTGAAAATATACTTACACATTCATTCAATAACCATACATACTATATATTAACACCCAAACCAAACCATATTTAGTATCAAATATCAAAAAACATACTGTCTCTAAAATTCCTTTTAAAAAATAAATTTTTTCATAAATAAAAATATTTCCAATTTGATAATAACTGCACCTGCTGACTACTGTATTAATAAAAATAAAAATCACGTATTCAATACCGCGTTCATATATATTATTATTTATAATTCTTGTTATAACCATTCATAAGAAAGAAACAAAAATATCGAATTTCGGCATATTCAATAAAGTCATGAACAGTATAAACTCATACAAGTTTCAAACAATCTCATATTAGCCATGAAATTACAGTATTACTACCAAGATACAATCTCGACGTAATTTCACCGTATCTCCGACCGGATTATCGACGAACGTGTTTCATACATTTGTCGATATAAACTTTATGAGGCTCTGTCTTAATACAAATATAGCGAAATTCGCTTCCAGAATCAACTTTCGCTAACGAATATGGTCGTATCGGGTATTGCATTTCGACACGGAATTGTGATGTCTACATGCGTTAATGGGCCATACACATACACATACACATGTAATATGCAATTTTAATATTTATTAGTAAACAGTTAATAATAGGCTAATAATAATATTAGCTTCATAGATACTCATAAAACTCGAGTCCAATCCATAACAGGCCGGCGTCTGTATTGGTTACGAGAGCGCTTATCGACAATTAATATGCGATAAAAATATAACCATAATATGCTGAAAGTTGCATTCAAAACCATTTATGGTAGTGTCCTACAAGTGAAATTAAAAAGTATTTTATAGTCTTCTTCAATAAAACTCAATAAAAATGTAAACAATTCATTTGTTTACATTCTCATTAAATTATTTTGAAACAGAATTTAAATGAGCCTACCATAAAACAACTGATGTCCAACTGTCCAAATGTTAGTATCAATAAAAAAATAACAATAAATTGATTTAATGTTTCATTTTGTAACTAATTTTATTTAAAAAATGTTTCTATTATAATTTCAACAATACTTGGTTAGCATTTCTGTCACGGTCGCCAAAACGATCACTTTGAAATTATTAATTTGTAAAAATAAATATGATTAATCAAATTATTACTTTATTCATTAGTTGCAGACATGACAAAGTAAAAAAAGATGATACCAATTCGACCAAAGACAAGAATAATAAATAAAGTGATTGACATGCAAAACTGGCGGGAGAGCCTCGTAAATTGTCATTGACATAGAAATATGAAGCATAGACAATTTTATTAAGTTCTATTAAAATAAACTATAAAAAAAAAACAGGGGCCAAAAACTAAAAAAAACTTGAAGTCTTCTATACCAATATGGTGCGTCCAGCTATCAAATTAGTATTGGAATATCAATTTGTTTTTGTTATTTTGACCCATTTTTATTCGTAAACAATATTCAGGTTCACTGGTAGACGACTTCCTTAGAAAGTTGCTAACAATTTCGATTTCAGCATGTATAAACGGCCCATTACGGCAACTCTTGTACCTTAGTTACAAAGGTGTACCGTAATTAAATACACACTAATTAGCAGACTTGCGAAGGCAATATTTTAACGAAGTAATCACCAACACTCAGCTAAAGTTTGGAGCCGCTCTCTGTACAAAAAATATATTTTCACAGTCGTAATACCTAATGGGGTAGTCAAAGATTTTTTGCTACTCAAACACGACAAAATGGTTGGTATAATTTGAGTAAAGTTTTGTTTACACATGAATCATAATTTGAATGTACATTTTAGCTAACGCTGCGGCGTGATAATGGTGAAAATCATTATTTAAGCGAACAAACCTGCGGAATATAGATAAATAATTAAATAAATCTGGGAATTTAACGTTTGTATTATAAGTACAATAAATTATCATTAATTTATATTAAATAAATTAAGAGTATTTTCCCAAATTCAATATATCTATTTAAAACAAATTGATTGATCGCTTTCCAATAATCTTATTGTTTCCATAACCTTGTTGCGAAGCGTATAGCTCGGTTTAAGCATCATTACCTGCGAACAAATAGAAAATATATTAGAAATTCTGATTGTTTTTTATTTAATATTCATAGTAGAAAGGAAGAAAATCAAAGATCTTATTAATATACATTAAAAAATTATATCTGAACGACTTAACGTCTGTAACTAGAAGATATTTAAGAAAAATTGAGGTTTTATAAATGGTTAAATATTTTTTAGAAATTTGCTCTCTTTTTCTGTACATTTTTTCTGACATCACGCAAGAACTAGTGCACTCACATTGAATGCGGTTTTCACTGTTGTGTTTCCGAAGATCTAATTAAACAGTAGTGTATATTTTATTTGGATAAATCATCTAAAGTGATTGTAAAATTTCTATGGAAGCCAGCTGAAAGTATATCTGTTCGAATAAAAAAAAAAATTATCAAATCGATTTATAAATTAAGCAATTATTAAGGAAAAACAAAAAAATAATCAAGATTACAACCGAATTGAGAAACTCCTCTTTTTTGAAGTCGGTTGAAAATTCATTAATTTTCTTTGAAATTTGACAGCTACTTCAGATGTTGCTAGTACGTAACACAATTAGTTCCATACGAAACGAAACAAGATCAGAGAAGTGCGGAAGACAAGAACCCCATAAACTCGTATAACGCCAACACTCGCTTTCAAATAGCAACCTAAATATTGTAAATAATAAAGTTGTTTATAACAACGTCGGCAGCTCATAAAGATTTATGAGGATACCCGTTCTAAATAAATATTTTAACATTGACGGAAAATCGATGTCTTTAAAAAAGTGTTTTATTTTTTTTTTTCATCGGTTACGGTCTACCTACGCCTTTGGATATTTGGATTTTTTTGTTCATTTATAATGGTTGATGGAAAAAAGTTATTATTAAATAAAATATAGAAGGATAAGCATACTGAAGTGGCAATAGTCTGGTCACATAGCTCAAAGAATCAACAACGGATGAGGAAGAAACGTTATTGAGTGGCGTCTCCGTACGTGAAACAGTGGTCAGGATCATAGTTTATAGCAGTCTATGGGGGAGGCCTATATTTAATAGTGTACGGATAATGCCTGAGATGAAATAGTATTAAAATATTACTTAAGTAGAACTTTATTTCAAAACATAAAAACTTCCATAGTGACACAAAACTAATAGTACTAAACTATTAAGTAACTGAGGTTTTGGGTTCGATTCTACGTATAGATGTTAAGAAGTTAATACCTTAAATTAACTCATACTTTTTATCCTAATTTACATTGACAAAACCGCGGGACACAATTAGTTAGTGCAGATAAAAATGAACAAAAGAATAATACTTTTTATAACAAGGAACAGTCTATGTCCCTCTCGCCTTTAGCTATTATTTTATTATTAATATTTTCCTCAAAATATACGAGCTATAATGCGATAAATGGTGCAGAAATAAATGTTCCAGACAGCGTGTGGTGGTAGGATGGTTGAGATAAGGCAAGGGCGAGGGACGAAAATGATATCTATTAACTGTTCTTATTTTGTTTTAAAGCCAACAACACTTACAAATTGGGTAATGTCGCTTTAGTCTACGCTTTGTCCTTTGCACATATCCTTTATATAAAAATAAATAAATAATCCTGGACATATTACATAGCGTCCTATAACCTACCAAATGGAGTAATAAACGAAAATAGATAGGTATTAATTTTAATGTTATTCATGAAAATTTTTATTTTGGATTTATAAACATCTTTAGCTAAAACGTAAATAATACTTTTGATCATTCAAAATCGTGTAATATTTTTAAACGTTTGCTCTACAAACCATATCTATGTAAAAACAGTTTATTGTGTTTGATGAATACTATCTACAAAGATTTGCACACCATTGAACATGGCGTAATATATTGAACATTAGAAAAACAATTGTAACATCTTATTATGTAATTATGTTTCTGGCAAACAAATGTTATTGTATTATTATTATTAGAAATTGTAATTACGCCATATTATAACAAGTTTATTCGTAAAAATAAAGTTTTTCATAAAGACATTATTTTATGGTTGTAGAAGACTTATAATGAGCTTATATTTTTTATAACTGTTTTTATTTTAATTACCAATAAATATCATTAATATAACGAATATTTTTGTTAGCAACATGACCTAATTGTTACAGACCCAACTTATAGGAACCAACCTTATTGGTAAAGAAATTCAAATAGTAATTCGTATTTTACTGAACTAAGTACCGTTTTACGGAAGTCTGTATAACTGGTTAGTTGATTACAATTATTTTATTTTATTTCGCTACCATCCGCTATACGTATACATGCGTCTTACAATTTGAGCTAACATTTGAGGATTGATTATAATGTTTTCAGATTAAAAAAATAATCTCAAAACGCTATAAAATAATACTCGTAGGTACAACCAAATTGACGACCTCCTTCTTCTTTTGAAGTCGGTTGAAAATTTAGGACCAATCAAATTTTTTTTTATACAATTTAGAATGGCAAATAAGCTGACGGCCCACCTGATGGAAAGTGGTAATCGTCGCCTATAGACATGAGCAGTACCACGGACACATCAGAGTACACTGTCGCCCATCATACCCCCCATGCGTTGCCATTCCTGAGGACTCAGGTGTTACTCCTCTGTACCCTGTAACTTCACTGCCATATCCCACCCTTCAAACCGAAATACAGCCATGCAAACACAACTGCTTCTCGGTAGAAACACGAATGGGACAGAAGTACCCAAGCAATCGAGTTTTTCCAGTAGTTGCCACACTTGGCAGGCGGTTTGGCAACTGCAGTTAGGCTTTGGTGATTTAAGAGGGACGCTGCTGCCCATCCCTCGACTATTAAGTTCCCATAGTCACCTCTTACGACACCCACAGGAAAGGAAGGGGTGGCCCATACAATGCCAGGACCACACGGCAATTGGTATTGATAAACTCCATATGATATTACAGTCGTGAGCATATCTGTTATATTTTATAGGTTTCGCATTTGCAAATTTGACTAAGGGTTATCCTTTTTTAACGTGTTTCTTTAACTATTATAGAGTCCCAGTCCTGTCCCTCGGGACTGCCGGACTTCAACAAATCAAAACCCCGTGGTATTTCGCCTCCGCAGTCTCAATTATCCTTATTGATTAAAACACACAAAATAATATGGTAAGATATAATGGAACCGATCGGATCTAATAAATCTATACCCGGCTCATTACATCGATACAATCGCACGAGTATAATTTGTCACGCGCCTGGATCTTGATGTATGATGAAATATTTAACTTCACATGTTGGTAACACTCGAAGATACAGTATCTTCGACTCACATAATATTAATGTCTGACTAGTGTCTATAATTCTTTTTTTATTATTTTTTTTTTCTTAATTTTTTCTACTATAATTTAAGATTGTGTTCTACAAAAAGAACGGACTTCAATTGTGGCAAAACCAGTTATTTTAATTTAAAAATTAAACTACCGAGCCGATCTTGATAAAATTTCTACGTTTCCATAGAAATTTTCTTTCAGATAAAAAAATTATACAAACAATCGAATTGAAAACCTCTTTTTTTTTAATTGGTTTAAGACCATACAGCCTGTTTAGACGGGTAAAAGGTTTCTTAACTTATGGACGTTGCCAATATCAGGGGTTTCACATACGCGTTACCGAGACTGATGAAACCTTAATACGCTCTTTTTGAGAAACCCCATGCTGTAGTCTCTAAGGAAAACCTTACCAGAGAGCTCATTCGATGGCCTGAAAGTTTGTGGGAGGAAACTTCTCTAAAATTGCACTATATTGGACCATTAGTATCACAAAATCAATAATTTCAATCATGATAAAATATAAGATCAACATGGAAGTAAACTCTATCGATTGTAGAAAATATCTTCAGAAATATACAACGATTCACCTCGTTTTTGAAGTCGGTTAAAAATAATGTCTAGTCACAGAGCTATTTTAATTATTCTCACCATTGTATAAATGGTGTGGGCTGGAGGAATAAACCTTCATTTTATTTCTTTATAAACCTGCGAACTGGAGAACGCTCAATTAGTATTGCAAATAAGAAGTCACAAAAGAAAAGGGGTTCTTTTTTCAAATGGACTTGAATAGGCATTGTTCGGTTAAAATACTGCGCGTAATATTACAATTTTGGAGAACATTCCCTTTTTCCGTTTTCTTCACTGTGTTCTCTTTGTTAAATTGTTATCAATTTATTCTGAGATATAAATTAATTAATTAAATGTGTAAAAGAGAAACTTTTTTCATTATACGTGATTTATATTATTAATTGTAAAATTTTTTTTATTATAGAATTTACTAATTTGATAGTATTCCCATTTTCTTATTTAGAATTTTTGATGAGATTTAATTTATGAATATTATATAAGTATAGAATATTAAATTTGATAGATTTTTATATTTAAGATCAGGGAGGGTAAGGGATTGTTAGTAATGCGGACTACCAGTCACATTACTAGTATTATACATATATAGCAATGTCAGATGCAGGTGTCTGGAAACCATCGTGCCGAATTCCAAGCGTATCATTCGATCAGATCTAGATCCAGGCGTCATCACGATGGGTTAACTGACCTGATTTTTCATTCTTACCGATCATCTTCCACTGATGCCCCGCCGGGGTGGGTCTACCGTTACCATTTCATTATCATCCATAAAAAATATTTAATATCATACCATATCTATTATATTTGTAAAAAATAATTAAAAGGTACATAAATTAATTATATTATTTTAATAAATTTGCGACAGCATCGATGTGTAAATCTCTGGAACATCCTGTTATCACCAGTACAGTGAAATATTTAATTAAAATTTCAACTCCTCAGAGGCGGATATCGAGTGAAAATTATCAATTCGAGAGCGGGGCACAGATGTGATCGTCTACTGTTAATTATTCGTAATTTATTGTAGCATTCGCCGACTATTCGCCAAGGAGCGGGAAGCCGCCATTTTGAGAAAAGATAATTTGTCATAAACATATCAAAATGGCTGCGAATGACA